AAGGTGTTTTCTTTTAAAATTTAGAGTTTTCCTTTAGGTATGCTGATTAACTCTCACCAACTCTGTATGACTATGTCAATAAGTTTTAATATTTTGAAGTAAATGACTGTTATTTGCTATTTGCTCTTCATAAAATTAAAATGCCTTTTCCAACTAGTTTCACCTTCCTTCTCAGCACAATTAAACATTTATTTCTGTTCTGAGCTATCTTATAATCATGTAATGCTGAAAAATCTTAAGATTTAGCCACTTCTACGAACATTCTATATTCATTCCAGGACCACTCCTGCCCAGAAGAAAGTATACCCGCAGTCACAGAAAGCTGTAGTATGTTACGTATGCATTGACTATTAAAAAGCAGCAGGGGGAGCAGAGCGCAAAAACACTAAGAAAAAGCACCCCAGAAAAGCAATTTAATTTATAGGCAACAGAAACATGATAGAGATCTTTGTTAAAAAGCAAACAGACAAACTAAATTCCATATAAAAGTCATGTTCACATTTGCAAAGCTGGCCTACGTACGTCTAGAAAGAACTAAAGAAAAGCCTTAAGTCTCTTAGAAGGATGCCTGAATCCTAACTTCAAGGCAGACTTTCAGCTTGAAGCATGGTAGGTTCCAGCAATGCCAAGCCTTGGAACTGCCCCAAATTTAGAGAGAAGAAACAATACATTTTTATAGTAGTATATTTTGGGGGAAAATCAAGATGATTTTTTTCTCCTTCAAACATCGCCACACTTACATTGAAGATGTGGTGAAATGTGCATTATTAGGTCACAAGAGAATAAAGTTACAGGGTTCCACAGCATAACTCTTGAGGCTTAGATCCTGGCCTGCACTCCTCACATCCTCAGTTTACTTTCTATGAGAGAAAGGTAACCAAAAACACTGTGAAGCTATTCCGCCTTAAAAACAGTCTAAAAAGTTACTTTAGCTTTGCAAAACCTGTACAAAAGGATGGAAATGTACCTACCAATCCCACATTATATTTAATATTTTCTAAAAAATTAATCAGTGCTGTTTTTTCAGCTTTAGAATAAAAGAGAAAAAGTATTTAGCTGTCTGGAATTCTGTAGCTGAAATTTAAGAAAAGATTAAGCTTCTATTTAGAACTTCAAAATGTTTGTGTCTGTATTATACTGAAAAAAGTATAAATATAATTTAAGCATTTTTTACAATACAGAACTGTGCACTAAAGACAGTTATTAAGAATTGTATTATAAAAATCCATGAAACTTAAAACATCAAGTATAAATGACAACTGAATGGTAAAAAAAAATATTTTAGCCAAGTAGGCAACCAATCAAGTTTAACCTAAACCTTCAATAATAATACCAATAATGGCAGGTATAGTCCCTGTCAGACACTATTTATTAGCTAACTGTTTTACACATATTCTTTCAAATTCTTACACTGACCTTTCTAAATAGATATCATTGTGCTCGTCTTATGCTAAGGAAACCGAAGCCAAAAAAAAGTTTGTCATTTCTCTAATGTAACTCAGCTAGTAAGGAACAAAACCATGATTCAACTTCCAGGTCTGTCTGCCTCCAAAGCTTTGAGACCTCACCAAAACCTCTCTTAACTCTAGCAGTGAGGTTTCAAAGGAAATCTGTACAAATCTTGGGCAGATTAATGGGCTTATTAGGCTAAATGCTGTAGATTTAACCTCTCAAACTAAATGCCATCTGGAGTCTCTTACCCTACTTGGTACAAGCATCCTACATGTATTATAGCCAACATTGGCAGTGGCCAAAAATTCAATAATTTTCCTGTCTCAATACCATCAATAAGCATTATGCACATTACAACCCCGATCAGGAAATACATCTAGTTGCTTCTAAAGCATCATTTAAAAACTGCTAATAGTTCAGATTCCTTCTATTAAGATTTTTTAAAATATGAAGAATTCATTAACCCAATTTGTTAAATGAGTTTGAGGAATCAATTTCCTTCTTCCTAACACCCAAAACCACCTCCATAATAAATATTTTCTCTACATAATCACTTAAAAATCCTGATTGTTTACTAGTATTTTATTGTGTCATTTTAATCTATTAGAGTACTTTTTTTTTAAGCCTGAGAAAGAGAAGAAAACAAAGAAAAACTTCATGACTTTTCAAGGGAAACACTGGTTTGGTTCGAACAAGTACATGTGAAAAGAATGGACGGCAATAAGACTAATAATCAAAAGCAATGTTTCAGACTTATTCATTCACACTCAAGAGATGCTCGACAACCTAGCGGACATGTGACGCAAGTTGTCACATTTCCAGTTCAGACTTAGGTTCGGCATCACTCCTGGGGACCTTTAGACCAGCTGCTCCAACTCAGTTTACAGCTCATGTGGATGTGACTTATTTGTGCCCTTGTTATCTGGCTGAAGGGTAACTTTACAACCTTTACCAAGAGCTCTTTTTCCTTCTATGCTAATCCGTTTTCATCTATAAAAAATTACAGGAGCTTAGCACTCATTTAGAAATGAATGGGTTTTTTTTAAAAAAAGAAATGAATGAATTAGACATGAAAAGTTTAATCAACAGCTTCAGCTGAGTTGAATTTTTTAATGTTAAAAATCAGTGTCAAGTGAGAGAGTGGCATGGACATATATACACTACCAAACGTAAAATAGATAGCTAGTGGGAAGCAGCCACATAGCACAGGGAGATCAGCTCAGTGCTTTGTGACCACCTAGAGGGGTGGGATAGGGAGGGTGGGAGGGAGGGAGACGCAAGAGGGAAGAGATATGGGGACATCTGTATATGTATAACTGATTCACTCTGTTATAAAGCAGAAACTAACACACCATTGTAGAGCAATTATACTCCAATAAAGATGCTTAAAAAAAAATAAGTGCCATGTCAATAATCTTACAAGACATAAACACAGCTAGAATGACTATATTTTGAAAAAGTCTTTTCTCACTTAACCTAGATTTCACTTCAACCAAATAAATTCACCTCCTACACTAAACCTGTAAATTAACCTGAAGTCTGAGGGGCCTTCACAATAAAGATTAAAAAAAAAAAATCCCTGTCTTTAAAAGACAGGGATTTTAAAAGACAGAAATGCCCTTAAAAAGAAAGAAATCATTTTGACCAATCACTGTGACCTCAAGTTTTATTTTTTCATCTTAAAGTATAGATAAATTAATACTTGACAGTTGAAATCATTCACAATACATGATTAGATTTCAATGTTAATTTTTAAATTCAAATAGAGGTCTCATCATTAAGAGTATGGATTAGGGGGAAAGTAATTGTAGCTGCTGAGGTTCACTGTGCTGAAAAAGTACTGTCAAATCATCTTGAAAATATAAGCAAAGGCTTTTGCACATCTTTTGGTGCCTTCTGGTTTTTCCTTTTACTACACAGAACTAACCAGACAAGAGAATAAGAACTCAGGCCCACTGCAGAATGGTCCCATTCGGTGTTTAGGACACTGGAGATACTCAGCATATGTCTACTGCTATTATGAACCAAATTATGAAAGAACAATCTATATGTTATAAAATGAATCAACGAACTAAGAATTTGTTAGCCAGATGAGAACAATGGCACCTGATGCCACGGCAGGGAGTAAGAGAGTAATAACCCATCATTTTGATGCAGAGCCATACCAAATTTAGAAATGAGGCTTCAATGACAGAAAAAAAAAATACAGATTTGATCGTCAGTGTGCATATGGGTAGGTCAGTGTGCTTACGGGTAGATTAGTGCCCGCAGATAGTGACTGGGCGGTCCTTTTTATCTTGTTTATTTGAAGCTAACTTTTTACTTAAAAACCATGCTGTCTATATAAGCATTGTCAACAGATAAGACAATCAAGTGGGTGATATGCTATGATATTTTTTTAAACTGCATGAGAAAAAAAAAGGGTGGGATAAAAACTATAGTAAACTAAAAAAAAAAAAAAAGCATAGCTGTCTGAAAAATATGTGCATGTAGATAAACAGTAAAATGGTATACCTTCCTGACCTTGTAAATAGGTGGCCAAAGATATTTAAATACCTTTAGGGGCAACTGTTATTAATCGCCACACAAAGTTACCAGTCCTTACTGGCTAAATCCCTCAGCCACCTGCATCCAACATGCCCATGCCTCCTTTCCTATCCCCTGAGCCAAACAATCATTAAAAACATACATAATCCCAATTATTTCCTTACATAACTGAAGATTGTTTTAAAAAAACAAACAAGGAATTCCAAAAAATACACCAAAACGGACAACACTCTACCTTGCTTTAAGGCTGTGCCAGGCTAAGGGTTGATTCTCAGCCCTCAAACCTCCACTATCCACCAAGACCAGCACCTTGGCATACGGCACAAACGCCCCATTGAAGCATCACTGTAACTAAATAACCTCAGAAAATTGGACTCTCTCTCCAAGATTCACGGAAACAAAGGCAGTGATCACAATGAACCTTAACTTTGACGTCCCCTGTGGACACATATGGCCAAGCAAAAAGATAAAGGCTCAGTTCTTACAGGGTACCCTGACACTTAGATAAATGGGGGTTAAGGTTCCAAGTTCAGTGAACTCTTCTGCGTTTCAGTTCAGTAGGTGGTGACATCCAAGGGATTGCACTGACCTCTAGTAACTCTTATTTTCCACTGGGAATCCCAAGAACACCCTACAACATGGGTTGCCTGTAGACCAGACTCGGTTTCTGTTGCAAGGGCAAAGTGTCACTTAGAAGTACCCCTCCAAACACACACACACACACACACACACACACACACACACACACACACACGAACAGTGTCTTGGGGGTACTGCAGTCAAACTATGTCAAAGTTGCTTTTGCAAAATATTTAATTTCTCCGGAGTGAATAGAAGAGAGAGGGAAGGCACGGCATCAGGAACCTCCTTCCAAGGGAGACAAAATGCAGTGAGTGTGACAAACCCCTGTATGTATTTCCCCAGGCCACGGGGACTGGTGGCTTCACTAGCGTGGGAATCAGCAGCCTAGGAGCCTCGGTGAGAGCCGAGCCGGGGCTTACCTTGTTGGAGGCCATCTCACTGACGGAGTGCCTGGTCTGCAGGGTCTCTAGCTGGTCCAGACACCAGTCCAGCTCCTCCAGGGTCTCGCTGGCCAGTTTCTGGTAGGCCTCCTCTGCGAACAGATAGGGAAAGGGGCACTCAGTTCTCAAGCGCTTCACAGGGCCGCCGGCGAGTTCAAAGGGGGCCATCCTGCCGTACCCCGTCATGCTCGGATGCCCGGTGCCCGCACATGAGGGCTGCTCCTTCATATTGACGAGCCGGGCACCGCGACGGGGGCCGGGGCTCTGCTAACGGTGTGGCCGGCCTCGGGAACGCACGCCCTCTCCAGCTTGGCGTCTCTGTTCGGCGTCCAGGAAGGGCGCGCCAAGTGCAGCAAGCCAACTTCTACACGGACCAAAACCCTCAAGATGCGACTTTGAAGAAGTCCTGGTGCCGGAGGACGGCGAAGGGGATGGCGCGCGCGCCCGGGAGCCCGCCCCGCGGAGGGAGCGTCTGGTCCACGGCGCGATCTGCGCGGCGCCCGGCCCCGAGCCGCGGCCCCGCGCCCGCCCTCCTGCCGAGCCTTCACTCAAAGCGAATGAATCAGCCGCGGCCGGGTGCGCAGCCACCACGTTTCCTGTTTTCTTTCTCAACTCCTCCGGCGGCGGGCGCAGCGCGGCTCCATCGCCGCGGCTTTCCGGGAACACTACCCCTAGCGCCCCGCACGGCCCTTGGAGCCGCCCGGCTCCTCCTCGGCTCTCTCACGCCGAGATCGCCCGGAGCCACGGCCCGCCAGGGGCCCCCGCCGCCCCACCGCCTCGCCGAAGCATCACCCCGCGCGGCCCCGCGCCGCTCGCTCCGAAGCCCGGCTGGGGAGGCGCGGGCGCTACAGTGTGTGTCAGTGCTGCTGCCGGGGGCCGGGGCGAGGGGAGCGGCGGAAAACCCGGCGTGGAGCGCCCGCCGCCAGCTCGCCCGCCGCCCGGGGTCGCGCCCGCCGCGGGGCTCAGGCGGGACCTGGGGCGCACGCGCGCGCGACGGCGCACCTGCCCCGCGGGGACCCCGCGCGCCCAGCCGAGCCGAGGCCCTCCCGGTTGCCCAGACGGCCCGGCCCGAGCCTCCGCGTCTCCACTGTCCCGTGCTTCCTGCGAGCTTTCGCCGGAGAGCCCGACGGGCGGCACAAGCTGGTTATTTAGGACCCGCGCAACCGTTTGTGTGGGTTTGGGTTTTAGTGTTTCTGAGGCTTCGTTTCTGAGGGTTTAGGATTTACCTACTTCAAGAGGACAGGGTGGTTGTGCAATCAAAAGTATTTCTATTAAGACCAGACCCTCAGTTCCCAGCCCAGCCTCTGCTAAGAACCATACGTCTAAATTTCGGGGTGGACATAAGCAAGCAAACAAAAACATACAATGTTGTGGGTATGAACGCCTTAGAATTCACAGATTTGGCAATATGTTGTGTTTTCACATTCAGAATTGTCTAAGAGTTACTGTAAAGGAAGAGCAATGTGAATGCAGCACACCGTATGGGCAGTTTACGCCCGTCCTGCATACATGCTTCCTTCGTCAGTGGAATTGCAAATCAGGGACCGGGATGGTATTTCGATGCCAATGGGAAGAGTCTGGAAGAGTGTTTCTACCCACCGTGCACAGAAAAAACTACAAACGTGAGAAAATGGAAAGACCACATCCAAAGACAGCGTATGGAAGCAGGTTCTATTTACAAAATTTGACCCTGGGGGAGGTCTACAGTAAGGGATCAATTGCAGAGAACTTCACTATATTAGCGTGCAGGTAAGTGAACCTGTTAGAGGAGGGAAAACATCCAAACTCCCAAGAGCCCATCTTACGAAACTTTGTTACTGTCAATTAGAAAGAATACACTGAAAAGCTTACATGAAGTTGGTGAGATCCTTTTCCTTGGTCTTCGAATCTACAGGTATTGGAGAAGAAATTCTGCCCTTGAAATTTAGACTCCATAAATGATGAGTGGCACAACAAAAAATTTCATGGACTGAATCTCGGGCTCCTGGGATTTTCCAGATAGGTTTTTATATAACATTTGTAAAAGTTAGAATAACTTTCAAAGTATTTGTTACATGGGCCATGTGGCTTATTATTATCAGGGATTCTTGAACTGTTTGCTATTCATTTTGGGAACTCTAGGTTAAAAATTGCCTCTTTTATTCCACTTTTTTATTCCTGCACCAATCTCTGTAAATATATACTTTTGGGGAACAACAACTACCTAACCTTGCCAGGTGAATTAAAGTGTGATTGGAGCTTTTCCCCCAACAAAAGGAAAAGCCTTAAAGATAATCTTAAATCGTAAGTATAAAGTATTTTATCTGTATAGCCTTTCCCTGATTAAGTATATAAAATTAGAACATGCTTGTTATAAAATTTGAAACATTACACAAAGATGTAATGCAGAAAGTTCCTTGTAATCCCATACCCTAAAGATCACAAATAATAATTAAGCCTATGACCATAACACATTTTCATTTTACTTAATATCTTCCATATGCAACTGTAGCATTACCTAGCTGTGATGGAAATACATGTACTATATGGTTTTATTTTGGCTTTTTTCTTCCAAGGTATAAAATAAGGAATTTTAAGAGGAAATTAACTTATTTTAGGTGATTTGATTTGGGCTACCCATAGTTAGCTCATCCAATGGATTAAAGATGCATGACCATTGTATCTAGGATTTGTTCACTGCCATCTTTCCAGTCACTGGTTATATCTGGAAGCCAGGAATCCCCTCTCCACACCTCAAAGGCTTGGTGTTCCGTGTTCCTCTCCCCTGCTCTCCAACTTTTCCAAAGTCTGAGCCCCAGGGGGACTTCCCAGTCCCCCTCCCATCTTCACCAACTCCTCAAAGCTTTTCAGAAATATAGGCCTTGGACCTAGCAGGATGTGGCACCACGTATTACACTTCAGTGTTTAATTTTTTTTTTTTTTTTTTTTTTTTGCGGTACACGGGCCTCTCACTGTTGTGGCCTCTCTCGTTGCGGAGCACAGGCTCCGGATGCGCAGGCTCAGCGGCCATGGCTCACGGGCCCAGCCGCTCCACGGCATGTGGGATCTTCCCGGGCCGGGGCACGAACCCGTGTCCCCTGCATCGGCAGGCGGACTCTCGACCACTGCGCCACCAGGGAAGCCCAGTGTTTAATTTTTAATTGTAATAGTGAAGAAGTAATTCAGTAAAGTTTCAATGCCTCAAGACATTATGTACTTAAATACAGGACTTGCTCTTAAGAAGGCAGTACAGCGACAAGAGGGACAGCTTGTTTCAGAAGACCTACTTTACGTCCCAATCATAGATTAGTCATTTTGACAAAATCAGCATTTGAGTACAATAAGAATGTGGCCTGTGTATGTATTTTATTTTATTTTTTTAATTTTTTTTAAACACCTTTATTGTTTATGTATTTTAAGTTCTGACTACTTCTGCATTCACTGTATAAATCTGGGGAATGAAAAAAGAAAAAAAAATGACTAGAGCACACCTACATACCAATAAGTAAGAAAATAAGTACTAACAACAGAGCAAAGAACAGTTTGTTCTATAAAACTGTTGCTCAAATAAAGAACTACTGTTGATATTAGCATAGAGCTGAGAATACTACTTTTTCCAAATTCCTAGGTTTATAGGCAATACGGTTAGCCACAGTTTTTCAGGATCAGTGTTAAAGCTTAACTTTTAGGAATTTTAACCCCAAATGTTCTAAAACATCAAGTAACTGACTTTTTCATCCCCACTAAAAAAGCCTCGATGTGGAGTTGCCAGCTATCCTCCAGGAAACTGAGTCAGCACACCAAACAACACACCTAAATGTCACCAACATTTCGCTGGACAAAAACAGTGAGCTAGTTTAATTTGGGGTTTTACCAAGAACACATACTGCATTCATGAATAAAATACTTTTCTCCCCAGAGAGTAGCAGTCACTGTGGCACTACTTGAAAATATAAGAAAACTCTTCTATTTTCCCGTCCAAAATCTTGCTAAGTCAAGGAACTACAGGGAGAAACTGTCTAAGCAGCAACTCTTGGCCAAATTCCATAAAAGCCAGGAGAGGGCTCTGGAACAGCAACTGAGAAATAACTTGAGCCTTTGGAAGTCCCCTCCTACAGCAGCATCAGTTTCCTTCAAGGCCCCCTTGAACTATGTGACACCCGTGTTTCTGCTCAGGATCTTCTGTGAACAAACAGTCCTCAATTCTTGCAGGCCAGCACTTGGCTTCCGTCATTGTGATGTGATCAAGGGTTCCCCTGACACATGGCCTGAAATGGTGCCAGGAGCTCCAGGAGAAGATGCTGAAGCAGCAGCTTCCTTTTGAAAAGGAAAAAACTAATTGCCTCAGAGCCACAGCAGTGAGCTAGAGGTTGAGGTCATTTTCTTGTGAAATGTTCAGCCGCTTACTCTTACCCACAACTTACAGCGATGTTGACCATTGAGGTAAAAGGATCCGTTCTACATAATGTGTGACTCTATGGATGCCAGTTTCTTTGCCAACTCTTGACTGATTAAAGGTCTGTATAAATTTGTCATAACTCCTATACAGGCCTATTGGTGTAAATAAAGAGAACAAGTCCAAAAAAATCACTTTACCTTGGACACCATTTGCTTTCCCTTCATTAAAAAAAAATAAATACAAACTGTAACGGCTGATTCAGATTGTTCTTTAAAAAAAAAGCCCTTCACTAAACATCTCCTAAGAGTGAGTAATTAAATGTATAGCTTCCTAAGCAATTCCAGCTTCTCCTTTCCTAATTCCCACCCAAATTCCCTCTTTGTTCCTAAGGATGGAACTGATAGTGTCTAAAGTAGGTAGAACTGGAGAAAAATGATTTCCACTTCACCATGTATTGCTTCAAGCTAGTCACTCCCTGAATTTGCTACAGTAAAAGATTGATGCAATTTAGCTCTAACTTTTGCTGACTTTTTTTTGTCTCTACATTTTATCTGATGGGAAATACATGAAGGTGTTGGATACACTTTCAATGTGTACATGTAACAGGTTTAAGCAGAGCTTGCCAGTGGCAAGCTGTCCTCATTTCCAAGTGTATTTCTGGCATCAAGTTCTTGTTTTGAAATCTTATGAAAAATATAAAATTTCACTTAGTAC